ATATATATATATATATCACGTATATTTTACGTTAATCTGATGTATTAAGTATACTCCTCTTTATTTCGAGCAGAATTAAACAGAATAAAAAAGAGTAAAAGATATTTCCATATAAAATAAAAATTATATTTCGAATATTTTAAGTAAGTATAACAAGATTTAAGTGTTAATTACAGTAAAATTTTATGAGTATGTGAATAATATAGATTGATCCAAAAATATATTAAATTAAATAATTTAAATTATATGAAAAACATCGTGTAAGATTATAATCAAGCGTAATTTTTTCCAGTGCGGACGTAATGATATCTGTTGCGAAATTGATGAGGAAATCTTTATATGCAATCCATGACATTGGAGCGGAAATGTAGAGTGATCATGGTAACCGGGGGGATCGGAAGATTCGGAGATTCATGAGGCTCGGAAGTAGAATAGCAACGAAAACCGTTGTTCTGTATCATAAATAATCATAAGTAATAGTTCGATCTGGACTTTGTTGCATAGAACTACGATTTAATCTTACACTTAATTAAAAAATATTTAAGAATCCATATAATAATTGGAAATATACATTTACTTAATCATTATGCAGCAAAATATTCTTTGTTATCTCTATGACTAAGAACTCTTTTTTATTATCAAATTGAAATCCACTTGTAATAGCAAAAATAATTCGTTTTATATTATCCCAAATAGCTAATTTATCTTATTCCAAATAGTCAACGATAATAATCCATTAGAATCAAAAGACAGCTTTATTAGAAATTTATTAAAAATTATTGTACTTTAAAAATAATAATCTTTATTATTTTTAATAAAAAGTATATCAAGATACAATAGCTATAACTTATACAATATATTTTGGTAGTCTCGTATATTTAGAAAAGATTTGTTAAAAAATCTTTTTTGTTGATATAATTTATAAACAAAGTAATTGTTTAATAATAAAATAAAATAATAATAACATTTTATTTTGTAACAAAACAGTTTATACAATCATGTTTTACAATTTTATTATTATATTATATTATATAATTTATTTGCACATACATAATATATCGAACATTGTGAAATTCTAATGTTATCAATAAAATACAATCAGCAAAATATGGAACTGTAATTATACAATATGAATCTTTTATAATTATGACTAATAATTCAAATTAAAGAGATAATGTAACTTTATAAACTATCTAAACAGATGTTTGTTTCGTATACAGTAAAAAGAACAACTTTATAATAGCCTGTCAAAACAGATATCTTTTTTTATATAGTAGACAAGCAGTATATAAATACATTTCCGATACTTTCCCAATATTTTATTTTTTATTTTGTTATACCAGGAGCGGACACAACGGGCGATGTAGGAGATGTCGAGATCGGAGCAAAATTAAGTCTCATACATTTTTTAAGAAATAAGTATTAGAGTAAATTATTAGTAATAAAGTTTTTTACTTCACTTTTGTCTTTTGTTAACTTAAATATTTTTTGACGCGTTACACAGATGTTTGACGGACCGATTTCGGACGTGTTCTTTTGTGAATCCAAATTGTGAACGAATCAATGCTCCAATTCAGTTACATCCTATTCTTATTTTCATATCCTTACAAAGCATCTTCCGTCAACTTTTTCGGTATTCATCCAAAGTCATGCGTTAATCGAACGTGATGTTTAATTACTTCCGATTTTATTTTGTTATCATGTCGCACAAGCGGCGTTCGTGACAATTTTTATAAGTGCAATATAATATATGCACTTTATATATTATATTGCACTTATATAAATACTCTTTAAAGACCAAAAATTGAACAATTGTCGATCTGTATAATCAATTTTATTTTCCAGAAAAAGATAAGTTCTTATATTTATTTAATTTTTAAAAATAAAAGTTGAAAGTCCAAATTTATAATAAGCTATTTATACAAATACTTAAATTATAAAACATATATTCGCGAAATTATTCTGACAATTTCTATAGAAATATTATTACATATTAAAGAAAGAGCTAAATGCGTACTGCATGCAGTCGTCTGAATCATCATACCTCATTAATATTTTACATTTCTACTTATTACTATACTATATTT